TTTATTTGATTTGTATATTAAAAGTATATATTATAAAAGAAACAACATCTCTCATTTGTAAATACAGTGAGTTTAATTTTAGCTTGCTTACAGAAACCAAATAACTAATATTGAAAATAAATTTTAAAACAATATATCTTACCAAGAGGTACTGAGCAGTTATATTTATCTACTCAGTGTTGAAGAAAATAAAATTGTTATAGTTTTAAATTAATTTAGTAATACATTTAGAAAAATTAAGGTTGTTTTAAATATATACATCTGTGATTAGGGTAGATAGGTCAACTATTATTGTTGATTCTTGTATTGATGAAGATTTTTGTGAATTGGATTTGGAAGTTGTTTAACTGTCTTTGATTGTGTTGTTAAGAAATTTATCTTTTCATTTTATATCATTTTGTATGATAATGTTGGCTGTAGTGCATCATAATTTCCATATGGTATTATATAATTGTATTAGAACTTCAGTTGATACTTGTTCCCAGTTGTAAAAGTCCGATAGAGAGAAAATGTTGTTAGTGATACCACATGCTAGCTTTACAACCTGTCATATGTGAGTTATTGGTTCTGAGTTACCATTGGAGTGGAGGATAAGATTGGTTTGCTTGATAATTTGATTAATTTCTTTTGAAGCTATTGGACATTTGAATACATGTTATATGTTTTCAGTGCAAAGTTCACATCATGGACAGTAGGGATCTGGGTATTGGTCTAAATATTGTTGATAAAGAAAATGTTGAAGAATCAAAAACAAAAGGTCATGAACTCAAGCTTAACTTTAAAGAATAAAAAATCGAAGTATTGTATGAGTTTCTCAAATTTCAGTCCTTTAATGGAAAATTAATATTCAGGTTTTTATCTATGCTTTGATAAGAAGGAAACTAAAGACTTTAAAGATATTGATATGAATAATGAAAAAATTTGGTGCACTGCATTAGCAATTAAATATTTGGAGGTTGTGATGTTTGGACAATTTAAGGATGAGTATGAGATGTGTTGGAAAAAAACTAATAAAGCACTAAAGAAATTAGTTAATGAAAAGGAGTTTGATGACGTTTTGAAAAAAGCCAAAGATTGGATTTTAAAGTGAGTAGAAAAAAATTAATATTATATGTTTGTTTGTTACAGTAAGTGATATTATAATTGCTTTAGAATTGCTCTTATTGTTACAGTAATTACAGTACAGTACTGTAATATCATTTTTATTTTATCATCACTTAATTTTCTGCTACCTCATCCTACAAGTAAAAAAATTTATGAATTGTCTGAGTTATTTTATCAATAAAATGATTGTAGCTAATACAGGAAAGTAAACAAATAGAATGTTCATTCAACATCAGAAAAATATATAGAATGCCAATTCCTTGCACTTCATAAGTGTAGAAACAAACTAATTTGGGTTTTTATACGATAAACTCGTACCTCCATTTATAAGAAGTTTCATAAATTGATAACAATCCCTCAAGTATTTACGAAGTTAGAGGATGTGAATATAGAATTATTGATAATATTATAATGATTTTTTCAGATATTTAATAACTATTTTATCAATTCATGCCACTAGACATAGTATTGCATATTTTTATTCTCTTTGTTGTTCCTTATTCGGGCATCTGCATCTTTATTTAACAAGCCAATTGCCTGTCTTCACAGTCGGTATCAATCAATAAGATACTGTAATAGTGTTAAAATTGTAATACAGTTTCTTATTAAAAAAATTTGCCAGAAGTGCACAATTTACTGTACTATAAACTACATTACGATTACTATATAGTACTGTATACTGTATAATATCATCACTTAATTTATAGACATTGAATCATCAACTGTTTTACAATATAGTTTTTAATTTTAAAATTCAATGGTTTTTTAGTCCTTGGTGGTATCATTGGCAATGTATGAATTTGTGATAACATTTAATTATTCCAATTTACACAAGTTAATAATTATATATGACATTATACAGTAGATCGAACAATGAATAATAAGTTTATATGACACCACAAATTGACAAAAACAAAAACACAGTCTCAATGTCATTTTATTATTCTCCTTTCTTATCTTATGACACCTCTTTGTATCTGTCAAAAAAAATCAGAATACAGATTCATCTCGTTTATGGAGCTTATGGTATTTGATAAAGTGAAGAGTCATCTTATAGCTATTCAGCAACAAGATAGAATGAATGAAATTTATTGACGAGAGATTATTGTGGCAAGTAACATATCACGTGAAACTTATCTTAAATTTTGTGAAGAAAAATCAAAGATTTCTGTTAAACAATAGTTTGTTAATGGGAAAGTCATAGCCTATGAGATACCACTAGATTATCATTCAGTGGTACAAGGGGTATTAATTGGTAGAATGTTTAACTGGAATCTTCACAAACTTGATGTTATGGGCAAAACAGATATCACTGTGAACACAAGAGATGTATATCATCCTTATGCTTGTATCTGACTTCAGCAGCGCCAACAACCTCCACAAAGGCAGGTGATCAATGCAACAAGTAATTCATATTCTATCATGGTTATAGAAATTGGTAGCACTGAGAGTCTAAACAGTTTACATGAACTGGTAACAGGATATTTTTCTTCACACACCAATATTCAAATATATTTGGCCATTAAGCTCTTTTCTCGTTATCGGGATTGCACATTTGCATTGCTTGTATTGTTTTACAGATGTGACCAACTGAATCCAACTGTACCTTGTTTCGTAAAGTCTTTTGAGACTACAAATCTTCATATTTCCATAACAAGGTTTCTTTTGAATATTCTGAATTTTTCAGCCAATTATCTTACTAGTGTTGGATGTGGACAAGTCACTTGTGATAGTCCTAATCTGCCAGACTATCAACTCGCTATTCCTACTGACTTACTTTTTGACAATGTTCCTACTGGCATACCAAATGATACACCTGATGATTTTTTCTTAGATTTATGAGATATACAATGTGCATATGATCATGCATCACCAAGATGATAGTCTTTATAAAAAGCCTATAGCCTTGAAATATTAAGATGCTGTGGCTTTCAACGAAATAGTGGATCTGTGTTGAATGTATATTGTCTTATTATTATAACAAATATTAAATATAATAAATAAGTTCTCAATGAAGGAAACATTTACTAATATTCGTAAATTGATTTTTGTATCTGGAGAAAGATTTAATGGCAAAGCAGAATAGACGTAAATTGACAGTAATTCTAGTGACATTGACATCTTTCTCGGATCTGATGAGAATCCTAAAAAATTAGGAGTAAAGAAAATTCAGTTTTTGATACTTTACCTTTCCTTAATGGCATGAACTTTTCATGAGTCATGTTACTAACAAATTTGTTACAGTGATTTTCACCATTAGTGGTTTCTTAACCTCATTGAATGTGACACATTACAGTATTGTTCTTTAAACATTCCAAGTTAATTTTGAAATTGGTTTAACACATTGTTTTTATTAATGGAATTACCTTATTACCATGCATAAAATTAATCATCTGGCATTTATATTAAATCAATTGTTGAATAATTGTGTGTATTTAAAAATATTTACCAATAATTATAAGTTTAAGTAATTATTATTTATTTTCATATTTACATAATGTATAAATTATTAATTAATCTATACTATATTGCATCTTAGAAGTATTTATAACTATAGTATTTATTCACTAATATTAAAAACATTTTATTTTTCATAATAATGATTATGAATAATATTATTTTATGTTTTTTCTTGAAAAATCATTATCATTATAAATATTGGTATTAATATTTTGTGTTGATTTTTTATTATATAATTCTGATGCTTTTATAAATTCTTCATGCACCTAAATAATAAAATTAAAATAATTTAATATATATAAATAAATTGAAAATATTTTAATTTGAAATGATGGTCTTGGTATACAATTATATAATTTGTATAAAAAATTATGTAATACTTCTTTTAATTATCAATTAAAGCTATAAAGATCCTATATATAGAAAGTAGCATAATTTTTGTATAATATGGCATTATTTTTTTATTTTGTATAATTTGATATAATAAAAAATTTTTAATGAATTATATTAACTAAAAAATAATAGAAAGAAATTTTAAAAGTTATTATTTAAACAATTATACTGAACCATTATCAAAAATATTAATTGACTTCACATTACTGCATTAAAAGTTCTTATTAAAAGAAAAAAAACAGATTTTTTATTATTAATCAATGAATTAGTTGCAATTATCTTTACAAATAATAATTTATAATTATTTTATTATATTAAATAAAGATTTATTTATTGAATTGATAAAAAATATAATCTAGAATATCTTACAATAACATCCAAAAGTAAAACATAAATTATTTGAATAGGATTTTTATGAATAGAATATATTTTACATATATTATATTATAATAAATAAGTGATAAAATTCATGCAAAATTACTTAAAGATTATACTGTTTCTCTTTTAAATTAATATTTATATATATTTTATCATATCAATGCCTCTATGCACACTGCAAAAATAACAAAAGAAGAACTTACTGAAGAAAATATAGAAATTCTTTCTTGGCCTAGATTTTAATCTTATTGAAAATATCTGGTTTATAATGAAAAATAATATTCGCAAAAATCATCTACTTCTGAAAGATCTTGAATAATTAAAAAAAAATAATATAACATGAATGAAAATAATATAACATGAATGAAAATCATTTCCTTTGGTAATCTTGTTAATGATATGCCTCATCACATTAATGCTGGAATTGAGGCAAAAGGAGGAGCATCTAAATATTAAATTCTTATTTTTGTACATATATAATGCATTTTTTGATTTAGCATGATTTTTTTATGCAAACTATAATAATATAACTGTATCAGTTTAAAAAGTTATGCATCACCTTCTCTTTAATTTTGGTAATGTTGATCAAAGATTAAAAAAAAGTGATACATAAATTTTGTCTACCTCTGTACATATATTTAATGTATATTTTTAATTTGTTTAATTACTATGTCTTATCTCTTTGATTTTTAGGCGCTGTGAATATGATATTACAAACTAGTCATATAAACAGACATCTGAAAATAATATCTGGTGAACTTACCATGTCAAATTGGAAATTTGTTAAAATAACAAATTTTTTGATTTTCACATCTTCATCTTTTTGAGTCATTAAACTTTTCCAAATATTAATCAATGTCTTATTTTTTAGCTATAGCCAATCGTACAATTTTCCTTACTTGCTCTTCATTCTTTTCCAATTTATTTAGGGCAAAGTTAGTCAACTTTCAATACTCTATATTTTTCAAGTTTCTTTTCTTTAAATTATACTCCTTATCATCTTACTCGTGCTTTCTCTTCCCTGCTGAGATCCATCGCTCCATGAGTTTGAATTCCAGTTTCTACTTAATTTTCCTTAATGGTTTGAGTGTATCTATATCTCCTATTATCAACAAATCATTTATAAAAAAATAATTGCTCACATAATTCCATAAAAACAATTATTAAAACTTATCGAGACATAAAGTTACTTCTAATGCTAATGTTGAAAGCCTTTGTAGTTTTTCATCACTTCGCCTTCCTTTTAGGATTATTATTCCATGCACATTATGATATCTATCTTCGACTTTAAAGAACTTGAATATAAATGATGGATTAATATTGTTTGATCTATGGAATAATGTTTAATATTAATCAAATGTAAATAAATTTATATTTTGCATTATAAAGTTAAGAAGACATAAAAGATTTGCATTTGAACAATCATCTTTTTTCGGTGGGCTGCATTTTGATGCAAAGTTTCTCACAGTTTTATAGGGAATATATTTTTCTTGTTTATTAATAAATCAAAAAAATGATAGCCTCATGTGTTCAAGAATCAATTTAACACATGCACCCTGCTCTAAAGGCGAAAATGAGAATTGTTGTGAGAATAAGATGATATCTTTTTAAACATTCATTTTGTTTTTTTGATCACTTTGATTATCTTTTTCTTCATCATCAACACTTTCTTTTTTATCATCATTATCACCTACCTTTTTATCATCATCATCACCCTTCTTTTCATCATCATTGTTATTTTTCCTTTTATCATTATCGTTACCTTCCTTTTCATTATCAATATTACCCTCTTTTTCATTTTCTTGGTCTTCTTTCGTATTTTCCTGGCCTTCCATATTTTGATCTTGATCTTGTAACTCTTTCTTGAGTCTGTGGTCTGTTGGTCTTCCTATTGCATATTGCACTACACTGGAGAAAACTCGTGCTTTCTGAAAAACTAAAAAATACTTTTTATCTATAATTTTAAGTTTTTTCTTTTTCAAGGTGACTTTTTCAACGCTACTAACTCACGGGTATAAAGACTCATATTTTATTACATTTTTTTTACTATTCTTGAAGAACATGCAAATAGACGATATTAACACTTTTTTTTGTTCAATTATGCTAATATTTTTCTTGAAAGGAGTGGTCTATATTCTTGTGAATTTATACTGTCATATATCGTTTCTACCTCAGGAGAAAGATAAAGACGGAGAACTAGTAGCAGGGAGGCACTTTAGA